ATTACTTTTGTGTTACCATGACACTACTCACTTCTCCACAAACCTCTACTCCGAGGACCGACCCTATAGTGGCTCCCTCCCCTTCCAATCCTTTACCTTCTCACCCAAGGTCGACTTAACCTCAGGTTATTACCTGAGAGATTCACGCGACCCGAAAGCATGCATGGACGAGCTTTTCTGTAATCTTGAAAACGAATATCTACACATATTCACTGACGGTTCCAAATCCCCGGACAATCCCTTTGCTGGTCTTGCCTTTTCATCCGCGAACGAAGAATACTCTGGCCTTTTTAGAGCACCGGCCTTCCTCCCGATCTTTTCGGTGGAAACCCTGGGTATCAGAGAAGTCCTATACGCAGCTCGTTACTCCAACTTCAGAAAAATAAGAATCTTCTCCGACTCTAAATCGATACTCTCAGCTCTAAACACAATTGACATTGCAGGGAAAGTCAACCCCCACGTCAGCAACATAAAAGATGACATCAAGGAATTGGAATCCCGGGGTTTCGATATTTCTCTCGTATGAGTGCCGGCTCACATGGGCATTTTCGGTAACGAATTAGCCGACAGGAAAGCTAAGGAGGCGTCCACCTGGGGAATAAACACCCTATTTAGATATCACCCTTGCGACCTTAAGGGTCATTGGAAAAAAAGGCTATATGATGACTTCGAGAATTGGATACAAGAAAACTCCCTTAACAAAGGAAGCTTGTTCACCCGGTACTATCACTTCCCCGGACGCAAACCCTGGTTCGAGGAGTGTAAGCTCAATCGAAAGCCGGTGGTTTCGATTTGCAGGCTCAGATCGGGACATACCTCTTTGAATGAAAGTCTTTTTAGGTTTAGAATCGTGGACTTCCCCGAATGTCCTCACTGCAATACACTCGAGTCCGCGGATCACGTAATTTGGCAATGCTCTCGCTTCGAAGTTCAGAGGGATATCTTGTTGCGAAACGGAATGACCACCTTTCGTACCCTACCTTGGCCGGTCCATTCTCTTCTAGCGACCAAAGATCTAAAAAGCTACACTCTACTAGGCCAGTTCATAAATGGAATAAACATATTCATATAACCCT